GGGGATGGCGGGGATGGCGGGTCGGACGATGTCCGCCTGGAAGTACATTCCATAGGTAGTCACCACACGACAAAACGCGGTCGGTAGGGGTTGCGTCGCAGCACAACAGGCTCGACAACATGTCCGTCGTGATCCCCGTCCACCCAAAACACTTTGAGCGCGGGTTGCGCATGGTTTCCCTCCGCAGACACCCGGTTTGTTCCATGAGTTAATACTTCTGACATAAACTTTCAAAAGACACTCGCTTCAGAAAAATTTGCGTCCTGACCTCTCAAAATGAAACAACCTACTGCACGGTAAAACCGGTGTCTCATTTTTTGAGGGAAAAGGGAAAACTTTGGGGGACTTCCTTGGTTTAACGAAAACTCCTCAGATTTCGAGGAAGTCTCTTTAAAACTGTGGGCTTTGAAAATATAATTTGCTACCTCCTTTCACCCGCTTAGGTGTGGTTGTCAGGAGGATTTGTACCAACCAGCGTTTCGTTGTCCAGGAGTGATCCCTAAGATACCCTGAAATTTGTAGACCTCTAGCTCATCTCCTTCCTCCTACACACACCACGAACAGACAGACGGACGGACGGTCACGAGAGCGGTTGCAAAGGCCCGCTTTGACCTTTTTAAACGGACCCGTTTCTACCAGACACCGCGGCGCAGGGGGGGAGGCGGAAGATCGTTCCACACCACCTGTTGCATTTTGAGCCGCGTCTGGGTAACAGCCCAACAATGAACACCTTGCTCTCGGTAGTCCGCAGTCCGCTCAACGCGGGCGCTGCCCAGCGCCTACGCCAGAAATTGTGTTCAATTATTAAAGTAATGATTAATAGGCTAATTCACAAAAATATCAAGCAAAAAGATGCATTAAGGACAAAAACAATACAGCGAGCAGGCATCGGACGTCCAAAAGCGGATTGGAGTGAGAGGGAGCTATGGCGCCGCGCGAGCTTCTCACTCGCACTATCGCTTTCGGACGCCCGCTTTCGCACGCCCGCTCACTGCAGAGCTCTCATATATATAGCGCATTTTCTCACAAACCTACGTGCAGTAATATGTTCATAAATTCAACGTTACAACAACAACTATATATAAACAAAAACAGCCTTGTAGTCATTTTTCTTTTATTCATAAAATATTGCTCGAAACTGTAGAATAGGAAATTTTCTTAACTACGGGTCCGTTTATGGTTAACAAGAATTGTTAACGTTTTTTTTTAAATACAGAAGGGCGGGCTAATTACCACCGTTGGGCAAAATCCGGGATAAGACACTAGAATTCTGGCCAAGCTACCAACCATGTCACACTCGTAATGTGACGCGTGTCAGATTAGTTTTCCCAAAAGGACCCATCCAGTGTTAAGGGCTGCAACATTTTAGCAGTGCAGAAATGAATGTAAGTTACCTGACACAGTATTTCATAATATCTCATACGAAGACTAGGATCAGCAACGCTCACGGGGACTCGAAATTCCCCAACTATTTTGGTGGGGTCAACAGCAATCACCGTTAGTGGTTCCAGGACATGCGGAAGCGCTGTAAAAAAAAAGGGTAGGCATTTTAAGCGCTCTGTCATTTTATTACCTCAAGTCAGTGATCAGGTTGTCTATTTTTGTACTAAAACTGATAACAATGTTAACATTTCCATTTGATTTTGATTTTACTGCATAATTACTACATACAATTGGCACACCTGAGCAAAAACTATTAAAAGTGTGTCCAACAAAAAATGTTCCTTTATTGAATTTATTTAGCATGCGGAACACACATCCAGAACGCAGCCAACGGACCGTCTGATTCATAGCCACACTACTGTGAGTGACACACTGCAAGCTGGGTGTCATATATCGGTGCCATATACACCGCATTCAACGTGTTTTCAGTGACATTTTCATGAGGAAGCGCTTTTAATGAAATCGTAGTCGAGCTGTATACAAACTTTCCTGGAGGGCAGGCTTGGGCTTGGATCCCTCTAGTAGGATATCGGGTAAACGTACCGTTTTGGCATGTTGGAGGTATATATCCAGACAAGCATCCATTGGGACAATGACCGCTGTATATGTCGCAAGAGCCGCCCTCACGACAATGCCCGCAACGTTCTGTACAGTTCGCACCGTAGAAACCTTCCTTGCAAGCTATAGGAGAAGAAACAATCAAAAAAGGCAATTTGTGGCAACTTATTGGCTCAGCAAAGCCTTTGCTGCGATGAGGGGCATACACGGTCAAAGCAATGTCCTGTTTGTTGATAGGCAAAAAGAACTTTTTTAGGGATTCCTATAATTTTACTGTAATTCGAAGTGTAATACATATTATTGCAAATTAATGCGATGATTCCGGATTTACTGCAAAACGGTGAGATGCACATTACACAAATCTATGATACCCCAAAGTATCGCTCAAATAAGTGCTGGTCATCTCAAAAACAATCAATGAAATGTATATTGTACTCTTTTTTTGCGATGATCATCACAACATCCTGCAATATTTCTAAACCGAAGAGGTAACGTGTAGTCAGTATCACACTCTGATTTACATTGAAGGTGTGGCGTGTTGCCTCGGACTGTCCGAACATCGGACTGATTTCGGTACAGAATATTTTTAAAAGTGGAGGTCAACTTACGATTTCTGCAATATTCCCCAGCCAGTCCTGTTGCGCAGGTGCAAAATTCAGCACTACAAAACTTCACGCCCCAGCAGCCAGCGGGCTCGTCTGAACACTTTTGTTCGCAGCTCTTTCCATATCGGTTCGATCCACATGCTGAAAAAGTTACACGAACGAATGATTCAGTAAAGGAACGTAAGGGTGTATTTACTTTAATTCTAGGTGTGACACTTTTCACACAAAAAAAACGTAGTGTTTCACACGTTTTTGAACAGTGACGGTGCATCTTCATGCATATCGTGCAAAGCACTAATACTGCATATTTTGTGCGAATTCTTCAGTGCTTAGTCGATGTTGGTTTATCAGGAACCAACACAAAAAACGTTAACATTTCATGTTAACAAATAGACAATCCTAATATAAAAGAAAATCTAGTACAAAATTATTGTCAGTGATTAGATACGTTATTGCGTTCTAGAACTAGAGTAACGGCTCTTTGTTCTGAGATTCACGGTCTTGTGCGTTGTTGTCGTCCGTCTTTGCTGACGTTGACCCTACAAAACCCCTAAGGCGGAACAAAATCGGGGACTAACACTAATGAGTTCCCTTGTGAGACCCAGGCAGTTGTTGGGCGAGTGATCGGCGACGTGGTGACCGTCCTCGCTTTGGATGAGCGCTAGACCTTTTTAAAAAAAAAAACAAAAAAAAAAACACTTTTATTCAACAGGAAAAATATACAATAGGACATATTAGTAATTGTAACAGTTGTGGAGTAACAAAGCTGAAGAGCTTTAAAAAAAACTGCTAAATAGGTAATCCATTTAGATTTGTCGTGGTTGTAAATGAGCAGCAATACTCTGCACTACTTGTGCTATTAGCGTTAGAGACGCATGGCGCTACCCCTTGCCGCTGCCTTGGAATGCAGCGGGCAGCCGGCGATACTCCTTCCTTGTGTTCCCTCCCTTCCCCTCCTGACTCTACTCCGTGCGTCCCCAGTGTATTTTCATTTTATTCATCGAACTTTTTTTTCAGTTAACGGATACCACAAAATAATCAGTAATAGACCCTATTCGGTCTCGGCTATAAGAGAAGAAGACAGGAATCCCGACCGGAACCAGTTACGAAAAATAACGCTATTTTAACGCTTAAATGGCTTTGGAAGGTAGAAGCACAATACACAATGTTTGTGATAATTTTTTATGTCGGGTTTGCAATTTTTTTCGCGAAGAAATGGCAGGATAAAGGTACTGGTTCCGGTCGGGATTCCTGTTTTCTTCTCCCGGAGCCGAGACTGAATAGGGTCTATTGCAAGCAGTTCTCAAATCAAGGTAGGCAAAATTACAAAATACTCTAATAATGTCATCATTTCTTCTTTTTCTGCTGCCTATTCTTCTGTCTTGTCTTCACCCCCGTCTGCTCTGGACTCTTGCTCGCTTCCCTCTTCCTGCTCAAACTCCTGTCTCTCGCCTGCTGCTTGATCTTGTCCCACGATTTCGCGCGCGTCGCCTGCTCGCTCACCGGTTGTTGTTGTGGCTGGCTGTTGTCCCCGGGCGGCGTGTCGGCTGCCGGGCAGGTGACGTCACTGACTGGCTGCTCGGACTCACCGGGCG